AAATTCACGGTAAATAAACATTATGAAAGCGATCCGCCGAGTTATACCTCTATTTTACCTCTTAGGGCTACACCCTCGGCCCCGCCTTTATTGTAGTGGTCATCGTATCTTTTTAGTGCTTTATTAAATTGATTTTGAGTCACTTTAAATAATTTTCTAACTCGTTCTTTGTCTAATCCAATGACGTGATGGAAACTCGCGGCTATTAACGACCGTTTGACACATCCGTTTCCCCTCAATGTTTTGTAATTAACGAGCTCGTTATATTTATTGATTGTTTCTTGGACATCTTCTAAGTCTTGCTCTGGACAAACAGACAAAATAAGTTTCTCCACAGTTTTTCTTTTGTTTCTCTTTAAAGTTGACCAATTGATACGATCTTCTTGCGCATTTTCTGCCGAAAAATCAAAATAACGTGAAACTATTTCACCGCACGTTTCACAAATTAAAAAACCATTCTCGATGATTATATGATGATCGCACTTATCCCCAAGTTGTGACGTCCCAAAGTATTCCATCTATTTAATAAACTTTAAATAAACATGATTGCATTTTTAAATAAAGAAATAAATATCGCCCTCTGTTTCTTTATATAATTGAAATCAGATCTCTTAGTGCCCGTTAATAGCGCCCTCTGTTTTTTATCGGTACAATAACCCTTATCATAAAATTAAATACCGCCCTCTGTTTATAATACCTCACCACCAATGAATGGCGCCCTCTGTTGATTTCTTTTATTATAATTGCACTTGGACTCGATAAATCGATCATTTATTATACCACCCTCTGTTTATATTATTTTGATATCCATTAGCGCCCTCTATTGATTTTGTATTATAATTGAACTTGGACTCGATAAAACTATCATTCATACGTTCTCTTTATTTGATATTCATATATTATAATTTATACAGTAAAAAGCCACTCCGAGTGGCTTTTTTGTTGTCATTCAAATTAGCTCATTTAAATAGCTTTTATTACATCTTAATATATACAGTAAAAAGCCACTCCGAGTGGCTTTTTCGTTGTCATTCAAATTAGCTCATTTAAATAGCTTTTCTTACATCTTAATATATACAGTAAAAAGCCACTCCGAGTGGCTTTTTTGTTGTCATTCAAATTAGCTCATCTAAATAGCTTTTCATACATCTTAATATATACAGTAAAAAGCCACTCCGAGTGGCTTTTTCGTTGTTATTCAAATTAGCTCATTTAAATAGCTTTTATGACATCTTAATATATACAGTAAAAAGCCACTCCGAGTGGCTTTTTCTTTGTCATTCAAATTAGCTCATTTAAATAGCTTTTCTTACATCTTGATATATACAGTAAAAAGCCACTCCGAGTGGCTTTTTCGTTGTCATTCAAATTAGCTCATTTAAATAACTTTTCTGACATCTTAATATATACAGTAAAAAGCCACTCCGAGTGGCTTTTTCGTTGTCATTCAAATTAGCTCATTTAAATAGCTTTTCTTACATCTTGATATATACAGTAATAAGCCACTCCGAGTGGCTTTTTCGTTGTCATTCAAATTAGCTCATTTAAATAACTTTTCTGACATCTTAATATATACAGTAAAAAGCCACTCCGAGTGGCTTTTTCGTTGTCATTCAAATTAGCTCATTTAAATAGCTTTTCTGGCATCTTAATATATACAGTAAAAAGCCACTCCGAGTGGCTTTTTCTTTGTTATTCAAATTAGCTCATTTAAATAGCTTTTTGGTTTGTCATATATATCAAAAGGTTTTTGCATTCTTTAACTGCTGAGTCAAATCTCCTATTTTGACCACGATCCATTCACCCACCGTGTTGACCATGCTGTTTGCCAATGTGACGAAATCTTGCCCGTATGTAACATCTACAACACTAGATGGACAGTTCATCTGAAAAAAAAGGAGAAATAGGCCTTAATAAGTAAATTTTGTTACACACAAACATACAGTAATAATAATTTGGGGCCTAATCATCCTTACTCGCATCTGGCATGCTAAATTGCAAAAGACGCAACTACAACGTGTTCGGGGCCGCTGACAAGTAAAGACGCCTATGGTTTTCGCCTTTTACACACAAATCACCCTGACATATTGGACACCTGATGTATAAAAAATACACGTTATAAGCGTATTATAATTACCTTTGAAAGTTGGTCTGTTGGTAGTTAAGCTGCTCGTATTCGGAAATGAAGCTATACAGTTGTACAGTGCTGTCGAGTCTGGATATGATTAGATACCACTGAACTCCGCCTTATAAATCCGACTGGCCATCCGCTGTGAGGGTATCTGGCTTATATAGGAACTAAAAATAGCAACCATTGTTTGCTTCTGACGTTGCGATGAGTCATATCCTGGCTGCCCCAACTAACAAAAGCAATTCATCACGGTCAATTGAATTTCAATAGATGTTTACCCCCAACTGCAAAAGTGTGTCACCCCATAGAGCTGGGTCCTAGCTCTATGGTCACCCTGAGTCACTTCATATTTTGCAAGTCAGGGTTGGAGTAGACTTGTACGAGTCGTATTTAACACAAGCTCAAAAATGAAAAATATAAATATAGAGGGCCTGGCCTTATTTCGAGACTGAGATATTGAGAGAGATATTTGGGAGGGAGATCATTGGGAGAGAGAGATCATTGGGAGGGAGAGGGAGATCATTGGGAGGGGCGGGTGGGGTGGGGGCAGAGATCATTAGGAGGGGGTGGGGGTGGGGGGCGTGGTCAAGGGGTGGGGGAAAGGGAGAGGGGTAAAGTCTGGTACCTGCCCCTCTCCCCATTGGCCCTGTACTACCCCCAGACCTATGGCAAAGTCTGGTATCCGCCCTTCTCCCCTACTAGTCTGGAATGCTGATAATTGCCCTCTGCTTCGCCTTGGGTAATTATCAGCATTCCAGACTCCAATCAGTCTTAAACATAGTGTTTAGCACCTCTGAAGCACACATTTATTCCCTTATTATTCTATATATTCGTCATTGACTATTGACATTAAATTCTCTGCACCTCTCACATTCACATTTAGTATTGCCTATTTAATACATTACCGTATTTATTGACTGTTTCTCTTATCTGACAGCCATAAACAAATTCTTTTGTTTATGTTTGCATTACAAGAGTTTTAGTTTCAATATGTCTGTGTATTTCATCAACATTTTTTTCAAGTATTAACAATCAACGCACGCGTGTATGCTAGACCATGTACATATATTCTAGAGCAATGCCCTCAATAGCTACGTAACGTCCATTTCCACTCAACATCCTCTGCATCCCCAGATCTTCACCAGTTCCAAGTTGACGGTTCCCCAAATGATAACAAGGAATTAACTCTGCTGGTCAAAATAATGGACTAAATGTAGCCTTTTTACAAGGTCAACCTGACTCTCACCGGTATATGACCGAGTGGCGAGTGATCTGAGACAATATTATACACACGCCGAGAAAGTGACTTGCGAGGTTTTCCAAGTCCCGGCTTCATTCCATATATACAGCTGCAGCTCCATTGCAAAACCGCATGCCCGAAGCCGAAAACGGAACGAAGCCGCAGTTTAGGAAACACCTTACTACAGTAGGCCTTAATTTGACTTCGGGCGTTTTATAAGTTTAGGCTTTGTCTCTGGCTTCGGAACATGGCCATTAATGTTAAGCCCCTAAACACATCAGTGGCTTTTTTCACCGGGTTTGGGAGGAGAGGGGGAGGGGCTTGTGGTCGTTCAACGACCGCAACCCACACTTATATCGGCGCTACGCCATTGCTTAAGAGATTATTAAAATGTCGAGATGCTTAAACAAACAGAATGACACCTTCTGGTGTGATTAATTTGTCCGGATATCACCAAGGCTAAAGTTCAGGATGACTCGTTATGCGAAAGTCATTCAATAACAAACACAGGAAATCTGGTCAGGCAAAACATGCCTATCTTGTTTATATGGGGGGATATTTATCTTAATTCATTTTACGTTCTATTGTTGAATTGTGTCATTAGTTTAGCTAACTAATTGTGCTTTGTAAGTCCATCATAGCACATCATATATTCCTGCATTTCTGGGAATGTTCATTCGGACTGGGGTTTACACAATTCTAAAAACGCACGTCCAACAATACAAGGCTGCCGAAATATGATACAAGGCTGACAGCAAAGTTCACAGAAGTTCACTTAACTTTTTTCCAAGTTGTTTGTAATGCATCTTAGTCTTTAAAATCCCCAAGAATAAATAGCAATGCCTTACCCATGGCACGACTATAGACACGGGGTGCATGAGCCCCCCTTCCCCTTCCCCCTACCCTTTCATCCCCCTTCCCCCTTCTCCCCCTTCACACCTCACTGCTTCCCCCTCCCCCTTCTTTTCCCTTCCCCCTCACTGCCTCCCCCCGCCAGTGGAAGACCTTAGCCCCTCTCCTCTTTCCTTGTGCTCCAATTTGAGATCCTGACTTGAACAAAATGCACTGTTGTATAATAGCACGTTTCATCTGAGTTAAGTGCATCCATATAATGCACCCAGGTGCTCCCATATTTAAGTTAAATCTTCTTTGGCCGCCATCTTGACTACGATTTCATTCCTCATGCAATCCTAAATAAATCGAAACAATTCAATGGACTGAAGTGCCAACTGCACATTTAATGATTCACGGCCATTGTAGGTCAATTTTCTATCCACCAATCAGAGTAAATCACCCAACAAGTCGGTGATCACCAGTGAGTGGTTTGTGATTGACAAGTTGTATGTGTCGATCACAACTCGTGTGTTTTTAGATGTACGTGTCACCGACATCCATATCCACCAATAAGATGCGGCTATTTCAGTGTCGGTGACACAAGTTTTGATTCTGACTGTATAGCCGCAACCACATTGACATCACTTCCTTCTTATCAACATGAAGCGAGTCGATGATGTCTGAGTGACAGCGATCAGGGGCCAATCACAAACCGGGCCAGTCACTGCTCGGGAAATCTAAGGCAATATTTAAGCCACGAGCGGCCTCTTCACTCCTCACAAGACCACAGCTCATCTTCACCCTCAGACGACAACCCGAGCGAACTGATTGCAAGAACGAGATTTGCTTGGTGAGTGTTTAAAACAATTAATTGTTGTTTTCTTTCTTTTCTTTTTCAGAAACAAAAAAGTTGCCTTGTTTGCACATAGTGTTATTTCAGTCAGCGTTGGATTCTTTTTAAGATTATTGCTGAGCGCGGTAGCCGTCTTGAAATTTCCCCTTTCTCTAACTGTACTTGCTGGAGGACTGAAATACACGATTTTTCTGAACAAAACTTCAATTGGAACTGATATTGCGTGACTACTGATACACGAATGTTAACAGCCAAACAAGCGCGCTAATATTCGATCCGCGCCATTTTGTGTACAGGATTTTTAAGTTACCTTCAAACATTAATAATAACAGTGTGGATAGTCGGAAACAAACGCTCTATGGTTTCACTATTAGAAGGCGCAAATATGAACGGACCGGATGATCATGCAAACAGTTTTATTCTAGTTCAAATTGCTTTAAATAACTAGATTCATTTCGGATCATGTTTAGAGTTGATATTTGTAGACATTATTCGGCCCTGCTGCATGCTCTGCTCTCAGCCTTAAAAATTCGAAACACATGAATTTGAATTAAGTGATGTTTGCATGTAAAGGGTTCCACTCAACATGCCACTACATGTATTAAGATTCTGTTGAATATTTTTTGAAACACCGATAGTGGTAAAACGAGGCGGCCATATTGTATTGAGAGTGAGATAAAATCTTGATTTCTGGAACTTTTGTAGAGAAATGACAGCAAGTTAATAACTAATTAAGTCCATTCTGCTTCAGTGAATAATTTCAAACTTGTAATTAAACGTTCCCTAATGTGTGAAGCCAGATTAAAAAAAACTGACAGTAAAATAAGGCTGCATTATGCATGCATAAAAAGTCTGGCGCCATCCCATTCAACAGTTAACAATTAATGAAATACATTCAGGGAACTCGACAAAAATGGCCAAGTCGTGAATAAGGCCCATTTGGCTTCATGCATGTTTATGAACACTAAATTATTGTGCAGTAAATCTGACATATTTTTGTGGGACATACTTTGTTGAGAAACAGATGGTGGCTGATGCTAATAGCCAATCCGGTGTTCTAATTTCCCACCCGGTTAAATAGTTATTTTTGTAACGACTGTTAACTTGAATGCCACCTGTAATATTTTCGACACTACTTCCTTGGTATGAGATCAATTTCCGTTATTAATGCAGAAAATGTAAGCTCACTGTGATTCTCACAACCACAAATTCAAGCACATTTTGAGCCACATAGGATGAGAAACATAGGTTCATTTACTTTTGGTGCATTTTGTTTGTTAGAAGCAACATAATTTCTTAATATCTTTAGTAAGGTCCTCAACATCTATTTAACCAGTTGAAGTTTCAGCTCAGTAGATACGTACATTTTGAGGAACCTGTTGAAGATTCAGTTCAGATAGAAGATGGGTACATTTTGAAAAAAAATGTATGTGCAATGTTTTGATTCTCGTAATGGAATTCCGTCTCCAACAACGTACAACAGCGTGACGTGAACGTGGGGTCACTTTTTAATTAAACCAAATCTATACAAGCAGTGGCGTAGCCACCGGGGGGGGGGGGGCGTGGGGGGGGGGGGGGGGGCGACCGCCCCCCCCCCCCATGAAACCTTGTCGCCCCCCCAGTCGCCCCCCCCCCCCACTGAGATTTTGAGTTTCTAAAAACAATATCATTGATCTACATGACGCCATTGGCCGTATTATGTACTACAATGTATCTTTTGCTTAGAAAATATTGGTTAAAGTGGTCAGAAATTGCCTCAGATAGCACCACAGAGCATTTAGAATCCAAAAATTTTCGGGGCCCTTAAGCGGGCCCCGAACCCCACGCCTATAGCTCAGAATTCTGGTAGCTGATTCAATGACTCCAACCTCGAAAACAATGTTCACAAAATTTTCGTATGCCTTTAGCTGAGAAAGCCTCGAAAATTATGTTTAAATTATTATCTTTTGTGCTAAGATAATCATTGGTTAAAGTGGTAAGAAATTGCCTCAGATCACACCACAGAGCATCGAAAATCCATTTTTTTTCGGGGGCCCTTAAACCGATTGACGCCCCTGCTTGACGCCCCCTATGAAATGTTCCAGGCCCCCCCCCCCCAGCGCCCCCCCCCCACTGAAAAATTCCTGACTACGCCACTGTATACAAGGGTTTTCCGAACGACTTAAGGGAATTAGAAACCGGTCATATCTTCACTTATGACATTGCAAAGTTTCTGTCATGATATAGGTACTTGTCCGGACATTGCGATATGATCTCACGTGACTTAAACTTGATTTTGGTGATATATTTTGAGAAAATTCTCATTTTGTGATTTATTCGTTCGATTCCAAACTAGTAAATCCTCAAACAAAGATGATTGTTGCTCAAACGTGAGTCCAGTCAGAGCCGTTGGCAGGCGCGGTTCTAGAACCAATATTTGGGGGGGGGGGGAGGGCTAGGCGTTGGAGAACACAATTCGCTTGAAATAAAAAAGAAAGAAAAAAAAAGAAGTCAATCCGCAATCACAGAGATTTGTTGCGGTGTTTTCGTGTGAAATTAAGCTATGCCTCCCCTACCAGTCCCCAAGTCATCTCCGAGTGAATTTTGAATGACTAATATTTTTTTTGGTATTATTTTCAGCTAGCAATCTGCTCGAGTGTCGAGGATTCCTGTCCTGATAGAATTCCAAAACGTTACTTCAAGGTAAGTGAATATTATTTGATAATTTACCTCAATTAAGCATCATCAGAGAGATGATTTGGTGGAAGAATTATCTTTTCATATGCATTGATACATTTTGAGTCAAGACTATAACAGATTGTGTTCAGTGTGTCATATTTAATCAGTTTGAGAGCCCCTCGACAGAAACCATATTTCTTTAAGGTAATCCAGCGGGAGCATGGTTAAACATTATACTGTGTATGTTTTGTCTAAAATGTTTATGTGTGTTTCTGAGTATTTAATTTTGTTGTTTATTGCAACGAAATGTATCCCGAAAAATGAAATAAATGTAAATATTAAAATATAGAGAACTGGCCATCATCCTAAAGTCCTTTTACATTTAAGAAATATCGATCATCACGTAATATAAGTAGGAGGAACCATGGGCGGAGTCAGGAATTGTTTGACCGGAGGGGGGTTCCATCAGCAAATCAACGCTGAAATGTAGACAGGTTTTATTTTGTCCAGACACTTGACTCCATAAAATCAAGGGGGGAGGGGGGAATCGTACCTTACTTCTATTGTGTGCGCCTTCAAATCCGACGATCATTAACAGTATATTACAGAATATTGAACAAATACCCCCTAACAACTGGCTCAGAAGCTGGCTCTGTACGTATTTTGTGCGCAGGCGGAGTTTTTCTTATTACCAGCATATGTTTGGGTGTCAGAGCTGGGAGGCCGGTTTTTGCATTATATTTAAGGAATGTCTGTAAAAAGAAAAAAAAAAGAAAAAGACAGACCTGGGGGGGGGGGTGTTTGACCCCCCCCCTCCCGATTCCGGCGACTGGGAACACAATGTTCACCCAGTGCAGTGCTGAGAAGACCAAAATACCCCCTCGTATGGACTGACAGGGTTAATTTCCGGCCGAATTCGTCCAAGTGATATTCATAAATCATGTTCCTCATAATTCATGATCAGAATAAAAGAAGTTTTGTTAATTATAGTCTCCCCAGCGGTCCGTTTTCAGATTAGTCAGATTTAGACTTCAATTTAGACAAAGAGCGGATTTTCGTCTTAAATAATTCGGCGATGTTCGCCAAACTGTTATCTTCATTTTCGTCTCCGGGAAATGAATTCCCTTTAAATGAGAAAGTTTAAAGAGAAACTTTTCGAACTTGATCAGTGATGTTTGAGAAAATCTTCACATTTTTCACATGTTAATAATGTATGAATTTATTTTTAATTTAAGCGACGCAAAGTTTCAAAAGTCTAACCCTTATTCAATTTCTCCAGTTTTCTCTGACCTCAATTTTGTTTATCTCATCTTTCCCTATTATTTTCCATATTTTTTTTGTATTTACTTGTTATTGTTTTTTTTTTTTTTTAACAGATGAACAATTGCATGGCAACCATTATTTCAATCGCCCTCCTTCTGGGTATCTCTGTCAAGCTCCGAGCTTCCGTTACTGGGCCGGTTCCCTCGGACGGTAATGGTCCTGCGTCTCAGGTGTGTCAGCAGTGCTGCCAGGGACCTGCCGCCATACCCGGCATACCAGGTCTGCCTGGGCCAGCAGGACCGATGGGGCCGTACGGTCAGCCGGGGTCAAAGGGCGATGCGGGTCAGCAAGGTCAGAAGGGTGAGCCAGGACAAACAGCAGACGGCTCCAACCAGCGGGTAGCATTCACCGCGGTGAGGACGAGCGGCTCGGATACCTCTACGAGTCGCGACACCCGTTTGCCATTCCAGGAGACCGAGACGCTTTTGCCGGGTACCAGCTTCGATCTCCAAACTGGCACATTTACCTGTACAGTGCCGGGCACCTACGTGTTTACATTTTCTGTGCTTGAATATACTTCAAGTACTACCCTTTACATACATCTAAAGAAAAACAGCGACTGGGTTGTCACTGGATATAGCGGGGATTCAACTAATCAAGAGCAGGTGTCTGGGAGCGCGGTGCTGGTTCTGCACCGTGAAGACACGGTGTATCTTACCGTACACGGTAAGGCGGGTAGTGATTCATATCACTTCACCTCATTCAGTGGCTTTCTCCTTTACCCCGAATAGTAAAACACAATAACCACGCCCAGTATATACACGATCACGCGCATCGCCGAATTTTCAATCGCTCCACCGTCTATTCGAAACAGTGGCGTAGCCAGGAATTTTTAGTTGGGGGGGGGGGGGGCGCTGGGGGGGGCTGGAACATTTCATGGGGGGGGGGGCGTCATGTAGATCAATGATTTTTTAGAAACTCAAATTTTTTTAGAAACTCAAAATCTCAGTGGGGGGGGGGCGACTTGGGGGCGACAAGGTTTCATGGAGGGGGGGGGGGGTGGGCTGTCGCCCCCACGCCCCCCGTGACTACGCCACTGATCCGAAACAATATCTAATTAATGAGTAAGTGTAAAATTAAACTTCTTTCAATTTTATCAAAATAATTCAGTTGAATACTGTGTTACATGTACTTTAATAAGTGCATACCCGGAACAGTTTTACGGCATTGGATTAAAGTATGGTTTGGAGTGCTTAATAGTAACACCGTATGGTATCGTTTAAGTATCATTTAAAACAAATCTTGCAGCCTACTTAAAAAAAAATCGTATCGTATGTTTTTCCTTTTTGTTCGAATAGGGTAAACATTACATTCACTGTCAAGCATACATTGTTATTTGAGAGATACTCCTGTATATTCAAATGCATTTTTGGTCATGGATTCGTTTTCTTTGTATGAAATGAATTTAAAATCCGACTAGGCAGCCGACGATTAGTTTACCAAAGTTCAAATTCAAAATAAATACAAATCAATAAATCTGTCACTTGTAATCGCCATTCACCTGAAAACAAACGTATCGGTTGCCCTTTTTTTCAGATCATGCATGCCTCAGACATCAGCACAAAACTGATTTCCCCAAAAAAGTCTATCTAATCATCCAAACTTCAATTACTTGAAAGTCGCAGACAAGGAGTTCGAGGCTCTTCCTTGGGCGGGCGCACTGCAAAAACTGTAGTGTTAAATTTACACCATTGGTATCTATAAAGGACCATCTGGTGTTAAATTTTACTGGTGTTGTCCTATATAGATACCGAATGGTTATTAATTAACACCACAGTTTTTGCAGTGTGGGGACACGCCCCATTATCATTTATTAAACTTCACAAGTTTTGGTGTTTTGAATAAGCTTGCAGTTGAATTGCACAATATGACCCATAACATTCTCAAGTTTCATAATTTATTTTATTATTTTCCTCCCGTGATTTCAGCTGGACTTCATTGGTACCAAAAACCACGCTTGTTTTACACTCCATGTTTTGAAGAATTCAATCGAATTGATGGAAAAGTACAAAGACTTTTCAAACATTGCACTTGGATTGAAACGATTGTAATAAATGACGAGATATACTAATCTGACTCTAGCTCTCGCGAACACATTTGTTTGAAGTAATGTTTAATCTGTAATTGATTTATCAATATAGCTTTGCTATTAAAAGTATTGCAGAAAAAGTCCAGTTGTTTATTGTGTATGTTTTTGAAGTTTGAACTTTTAGCAAGTCAGAATGATTAAATTTGGGGCTGGGGTTAAAGATCTGATGCAGAGATTGGGTTGAGGGTGTGTGGGGGTACAGTAAGGGTCGGTGGGCAGAGGCATAAATCCGCATAAGCGAGTAGGGGGGGGGTTGCTGATAACACGCCGCCTATATACATGCCAGCAAACCGTGGAAATTCGAAAATAGGTGGCGGATGGACAGCAGGAGACACTAGGGGCGCTGTTGAACATAAAAATGCGCTTACGTCCATTAACACATTAGGTGTGTGTACTGTTTGTTCTGTTTTGTATTTACCTAAACTTATTTGTTTGATTATTTTTGTTATTCTCATCACAACACTCGGGGGGGGGGGTGATCCAATGGCCAAGCATCCCCCTTATTAAAATAAAGTGTGGGGATAAATCCTTCCTAACACTGCTCCCTGATTTACGCCCATATTGGTGGGAGTGTATGGGTTAATAGCTCTATTGTTGGTGGGGGTATAATGTGGGCAGTGGCGTATCCAGAAGGCTCCACTCGCCCACCAACGCTGCAACCACAAGAACAGGTTGAGAAATTTTACGAGACCCTTACAGAAGCAGTAATGGGAGTGCCGGCTCACAATTTCTTGATGATACTGGGCGACTTCAACGCTAGAATGGGCCCTAAAGATGCACCGTTCACTTATCATGATGGTACGAACAGAAAAGGAGCACTGCTAGCCGAGTTCGTATCGGGAAAGATGTGGACCTCCCAAGACAGAGGCTTGGGGATGAGGCTTCAACTAGACTACGTCCTTCTAATGCGGAGCAAGTGGAGGAACATCATTCTGAATTCTGAATCGTGCTCGTCATTCAAATCCGTCGGCTCAGACCTCAGAGTAGTCTCCATGAGAGTGCGTCTAAATCTCAGAGTACCAAAGCCGAGCAGTAGGACTAGGTATAACGGGAAGGAGTTCTCATCCCGCCCTGATATTCAAAAACGCTACACGGTGGTGATGCGCAACTACTACCACAGTTGATAGAGGAGCAAGAGGACACTACTGAGAGGACGAGATAGTGGAGTGGTACCTAAGAAGGAGAGGGTAAAGAAATCTCTTCTGTCTTAGCACCCAGACATATCGCAGCTGCGAGAGAGGCTGTCATATAGGCACGCCTGTCCTGCGACAGAGGCCACAATGAAGAGAACAAGCAAGCTAATAGGGTGGAAAAACAACATTTGTTCTACACCTATGATGGACTAAAACAAAGAGGTCCTCAATGCAAACACTCAAATAATTGAGGCGTAGCACGGTGGAGCACGCTACGGCGAGGGCTGGAAGGTCATCAACGAAATAACTGGACGCAGGAAAGCAAAGGAAGGACAGGTAGCAGGAGCTTCCCCTCAGGAAAGAGTGGAAACACAGTTATGGTACACCCATGTCAGCAACCTACTAAGCAGCGCACCAAAGGTCGAGGATTCGGATGAGTAGGGCAGCAGGGCCGGATGACATTCCACCAGAGGTGCTCAAGAACTGTGACATTGACGCCATAGTGTTGGAGATGTGTTGCATGGCCCTAATGGATAATCAGAAGCCATTACAGTGGTCGCTCAACAAGATCATACCAGTACCCAAGACTGGTAACCTCTCATACCCTGACAACTACGGAGGTATCAGTTTATCATGCATCATTGCAAAAAATGTACCGTTTGATCCTGAATCGCATCAGAGGCGTCATTGATCCACTGTTCAGAAACAACCAAAACGGCTTCCGTTTGAAGCGCAAAACCATTGCCCAAATCCTAGCTCTAAGACGCATTATCGAGAAAGTGAAATTGAACAACCTAGCAGCAGTATTCACATTTATCGATTTCAAGAAGGCATTTGAATCCATACATCGTGGAATAACGTTAAGAATCTTAAAGGCCTATACGGAGTTCCACCCCTGTTACTCCGTGCCATAGAGTCATGTACGCCAACACACTGACTAAGATGGTTACTCCGGATGGTGAGACTGACTGGTTTGACACCACAGCAGGAGTGCTCCAAGGCGACACACTACCACCCTTCCTTTTTATCATTGTTCTCGACTATGCCTTGGGTAGAGCCATCAATGGGAGGGAGACCGACCTCAGCTTCACTGTCACTCCGAGAAGATCGAAAAGGCAACCGGCGGTCACAGAAACGGATCTCGACTTTGCTGATGACATCGTGTTGATGTCTGATCTAGTCGAGCAGGCGCAAGTACTCCTACACCTTGTAGAAGCAGAGTGCTTGAAGGTAGGGCTCAGACTCAACACAAAGAAAACTGAGTGTTCCATCTACAATACGCCCGAACACATCCCACTGAAGACGCTGAAGGGTAGAGAGCTGAATGAGGTCCCTGGCTTTAAGTACCTTGGCGCGTGGATCAACTCTAGTGACCAGGACATCAATAGCAGGAATGTCATGGAGGGCACTGGCTGACACGAAGAAAGTGTGGAGTTCCACCATTAGCCACAACGTAGAAATCTATTTCTTCTTGGCAACCATCGATCAGTGCTACTATATGGATGTGAAACATGGACTCAAACTCCTACGATGGAGTCGGAGACGAAATCGCAGCCCGTCGGATGCAGTTAGCACTCTTTTTAGGTGTGCAAAAGTTAGATAAAATGGGTTTGAAGGTACTGGTAATACTCTATACAATATTCTTTATCCCACTCATTTTGACACCCCAGTCCAGAGATGCAGCTTATTAAATGAAGGGACTTGAATTCCAAGTTGTGCGACTTTTCAGATTATCTGGTGTCTAATGAAAGACATCATTTTGATACGCCAAGAAGGTGTGTTGTCTCACATCAAAGGAAGATGTGTTGGATTACGTAAACAGTAGGAACAAAATGCAAGCTAATCCATGCCAATTGGACCAAACATTGATTGGTACTTCACAATTAGATTCAATTTCAGGTGTTACGCCCATGCAGTAAATCAATGCTTCTGCTACCAAAGATGGCTGGCCAAATTTGCGGCACAGGTTGCAGTGGATAAAGGGGTTCTTATGGTAGTTTGTTACTATACAACTTAAAATATTGCAGAGACCTTCCGACAGTTTACAGAGTACCAAGCAGAACTACGAGTAGGAGTTATGTCGATAAATACTTCGGATATGGTACAATGTCTCAACAGGAGCCATGGAAACAGCGGCAGACTAAGAAGTGCAAGGACACAAGTTTGGTTTGTCGCGTCGAGCCCTTCAACTTGAAGCTGATCCAGTGGTGAGTGCGAGGCGTAAATGCGCTGCCTCAGGCCAAAACAAGTCTCAAAAAAAGTGCTTCAAATGTCGGCTGATGACTGCAAATGGTGCCCGACCAAACTTTGTGCAAGTATATGGGAGTCCAGAGAGGCCACATAAAGCTTATTCTTGACCATAACCCAATCTAAAAACATGTTAAAATTGTGCAGCAGCAGGATTCCAGTCAAACTAGTGAGTTTGGCGGTTTTGAGACATCATCTTTCATTGAAAAAAAAAAACGTTTTCATTTTGCCGACGCGCATGGCTACGGCAACGCGCGCGCACGAAGAAGAATCTTCGAAGAAGAATGCCGTATTGTCAATGGCTATTAACAAATCGCACAGACAGATTCCTTTGGGACATCGTGGGAATGAGGCTACATATTCCAATAGAGGGAAACGTAAACACACACACAATGTCAGGAGATATGTTTAAATGAACAACCCACCAAGGGACTTCACATTATGACATTCCCGACAACCAAAGGAAACACTTGTTGTTTGGGCAGGTATCCTGGGCAATGGATCCATCATTGGCTTAATTTTCATTTATAGTAACATGAATGCTGGCGAGAACCTGGAGCTCATAAATGTAAATGACGCAATCGTTCCAAGATTTTGACAGTCTTTACAGGCTTTGTTTGCATACAAGATTTTAATGCACATTCGGTTGACAGACAGATGGTGGCTGACGCTAATAGTCAAACCAGTACCCTGAGTTCTCATAGCAAAATATTCATTTTTTTGTGGTAGTCCACCTGTAATATTACCGCCACTAACTTGTTTTTTTTCCCCTAAAGATAAAAAAAAGAATAGAATTCTGTTTGTGAGAAATTATGTTTTGTAAACTTGTCCTTGAGTCCATTCAGGCCGTTGTATAGTTCACTGGAAATAATCAAACCAAATCACAGTTCGCCCCGACAGAGAGTGTTTTACCTGCAAAATTTAGCTATGCCTCCTCCTCCGGAGTTATCTCCGAGCGGACTTTTAGTAAATCATTGTTGTTGCTATTTTTTCAGCCATCAATCTGCTTGAGTGTTGAGGATTCCTTTCGTGATAGGACTCAATAACGTGACTTGAAGGTTAGTGTCTGTTACTTAAAATTTACCGCAATCGAGAGTCATTATAGAGCTGTGATGAGGTGGGAGACTGCATCTTTTTGTCTTTCATTTATTAACCATTTTTGGTTAAATTATAACAGAAAACGTCTATCGACGAAAAGTGTGTTAAAGTGTTATTATTTGAGGGTCCCTTTTCCCTACACACCAACCTCATATTTGTGTCTTGCCTTTTGGGCCAATCGCATGCCAGGCATAGCTTGTTCTACATCATGGCGGATCCAGGAAACATTTTTTTTTTTTTGGGGGGGGGGGGAGGGGCCAAGAAAAAATTGGTCACCAAAAAGTGTGTCCAAAAAAATGGCGGCTTGGGGTTCGGGGCCCGCTTAAGGGCCCCGATATTATTTTGGATTCTAGATGCTCTGTGGTGCGATCTGAGACAATTACTGACCACTTTAACCAATTTTTTTTTTTTTTTTTGAGGAAAAGATGGTGGTGTTCCCATGTGCCTGCCTTTATTGCGAAGTCACACAAAAAAATGGATTCGTTTGGGGGATGGCCCCCTTTGTCCCCCCAACCCCCCCCTCCCGCGGATCCGCCCTTGGTTCTACATAGTGTTTGAATCAAAGTGCAGTTAAGGTTCTGATAATTATTGCCGACACATTTTTTTTCTCAAACAACAAGCGCGGTTGTGCGTTGTTATTTTCATTTTTGTGCTTGGGGACTGAGAAAAAACCACGATTTTTATGATAATTGAAACTGATCTTTTGTGACTATGATACTGACACACGTTTGCTTACCAACCAAACCAGCGCGCTAATTTCCGATCCAGAAATAGGAGTTACAATAAGATAGCTCGATACTTTATTGAAATGAGAGTTTGAAATTAACCAGGCCAGAGGGCATTGTGCTGTCCATGATATAGCTGAATTACAGTTCTTATGCTGAACAGTTGATGCAGATCCGGACCAACTTCTGTGAGGCCAAACGTAGGACATCTTCCATTTTCATTTATTTATTTGGACTAAGGCGAATCCCTGTCTGCTTACGCAACCACTGAAATTGTAAATTCTTTAAAAACAAATCAAAACACTACAAGACTTGTTGCTTTATGGGTCTTGGAAACTCACTGGATATCTCGTTGCAATAATAGCGCAGCACAGAATCACAGTCGCAGTAGTTTTGGCTATTAAAATTTGACTGCATTTCTTCCAAGTTTTCTGCTAACTTACAAATAGTTTAAATTTAATAATGGTTCCTGCTGATTCAAATTCGCGCATTTTCATTTTGTCAGATGAAATAAAACAATTTTGGGTAATTTTGTAACCCGACCAATAAATCCAGCATTCCTGTATTTTCTTCCTCGTTTTTTTTTCTCTGTTGGTTCAAACCTTTCCTTTTCAAACAAAAGCATATGCTGCGATGTACATTCATTTACATGTTTCCGGGAATCCCTCCAAATAATTCAGGATTAAGATTTATGTGGAAGTTGGTCATGGGAGAACGGATTCAGGAAATCCGGACCACTCAAACATGGCTGTCTTATTGGTGTTAGGAATGAGTCGGATCGCAATACCTTTTGCACTTTTGAACTTAGTCAGTTTACTAGTTCACAGTGCGCAATTCCGGTTTTAACATCAGGTTAAGCCCCTGTCACACTTTTGCGTATACCAGTTCCTTATCAACAATTTTCAATACGCAGCCGTACTCTCAAAAACGTCGAAATTTTTTGATTACTTTGACATATGTGCGACGCACATCTAGCGAACAAATAACGAATTCAGCGCATCCACTGCGTATGAGATGCGTATGAGTTGCGTATGCAGTGCGCAAGTTCGCCATCTGTGCGTTTCTAATAAGTTACGAATAAGTACAATGCGCTGCCCGCTCGCAGGACGAGCGATACTAATTCGTGCAATACGTCGCTATGTATACGTCCAATATAGGAGGTCAGCGTATTGCCGCGTATGAACGGCTTATCCCTCACGAACACATAGCGTACTCGTACCGCGCTCGACCGATGCGGGACCGATCACCGATGCGCTGCGTATTGATAACTTATGACCTGCGTAACAGCGTACGCAGCGTAGTTTTGTGCATGCCCAAAACTATCCAGCGTACTTGTACCATGCGTATACCTGCGTACATAAAATTTACATAAAACGATAGAGATGCATATGAGGTGCGTATTGTGAGTACGACTGCGTATAAAAAAAAGTCAATGCGCAACTCATAAGGAATTAGGATACGCAGAAGTGTGACAGGGCCCTAACTTTTAAGCAGTGGGTGCGTTCGTTTAGCTTACCCGGGTCGAGACGGGTCAGCCCCATGCCGTTCGATTAACTCTGACGTCATTCTCGGTGCTCACCTAGGTCAGCCACCATAAACCCTACTCGTGGAGCAGAGGATGTGGTAGAAGTACGTCACGTATGCGTTGTTCATTCCCTAGAAACGAACAAATTTGGCGGCCGGACAGCGGAAATCTCAAGTGGACTTAAAAGTTGTAATCATTTATTGAGTTCATTGCAACTTTTGAGGCTGTTATTTCAGCCCAACATTTTTGAGTTTTGCACTTGACTAAAATCTCAAATCTCAAACTAAGACCCAGTCCGAAACGGGCGTTGCCAGATATTGAATAATTAGTGTACACAATTACAGTCAAACCTGTACAGAAAGACCGCTCAAGGGAAACAATAAAAGTGGTCTTTATAGACAGGTGGTCTCTCTGTACAGGTTGGAAATATTTGCCCTCCCTTTGGCTTCCCTAACCTAATGCGGGGGGTCATTACAGTCTAAACCTGCCTTATCCAACAGTATGTTCTTCTTTCTTTTAGTTATTTGTTTAAAACATAACTATTTCTTAAAAAAAAAATGAAATTAAAAGTCATAAATGTGAATGATTTAAAAAAGTGTTTATTATTTTATGTTAATATTATGTAAGAATCAGCTGTACTGGAGCAGCAATACCTGCACAACCACAAGTAAAAGTAGGGTCCTACAACGAAGGGGAAGTTTCTCTTTCCGAGATTCTCAACGATCACACGATCAACTTAAGTTATGACCTCCATTTTCATTTCAAGTGAAAGCTAACTTCAATAATTCCTTCCAGGATTCGGGCTTGAAGAATTTGGAGCCATATTCTTTCTTTTTCAAAAGCAATATTGGAACAAACTCGCTTTATAAATGACAGGGCAGATGTAATCTACGCAATGTTGTGTAAACACAATGTGCAAAATTGCACATGCTAGCAAACTCGCTGAAAAGCTCAAAGGTCGATCAAGAGCACAAAAAAATTTAAATCTTTTTTTCACGATTTAAAAATAAAGTTGATCAATAACTTGACAACAAAAATACTTGAGTATGTTGTGTGTTTTTGTTTTTCAGAAAATATGTAAACGAATTTTATTTTAATTTATTTTAATGATAACAAAGGTATGTGAGTGAACGAGACTGACAGGTCACAAGTCATGCACATGCCTTGTGCATTTTGCTGAATGGAGCTCAGCTATCCAAGCTGCTGCACTGACAATAGGGGCATTGTTGATGGACCACAGACCCAGATTAAGCTTGAAAATGTCCTGGAAATCCTGTGGTTGAGTTACTAATCCTCTGAAGTGGTTTATGTGGCTCTTGCTTTTTCTTTTGAGTAAGGAATCAACCATTGTACAGAAACAAGTGGGCATTTTGTGGTCGCTTTCCATGGCTTGCGGTCGTTCTGTACAGACTTAAGCATTCCTACGGAAGCAAAATGTGCGGTCGCTGGTCGCGTTAAGCAGGTGGTCTTTCTATACAGGGCTTAAGTAACGGGATTTGTCAGCGGGGGACTTTTAAATGGTCGTTACGGACAGGTGGTCTTTCTGTACAGTGGGTCGCTAAGGCAGGTTTGTTGCAGCCGACAATACATCAGGCAGTGTTTTTGTGCGATAAATGCGCCAAAACATCTCCAAATAAACTTAGTGTTTATTAACAAGTGTCTTTCTATAAAATCAAACATATGGATTGAATATGTGTTGGAGAACAAGCTTAGAGCAGGGCAGGTTTCTAATTTCTCCAGAATCTCTTTTTGGTGATCAGCGCGTCAACTTTGAAAAAAGCCAAGCAATCATTCAAAAAAGGAACTAATATAATGTACCTCGTTTTTGAGTCCAGTCAGGGCCGTTGGTCACTTGTTAAAAAAAAAAAAACAAGCAATCAAAATCACGTTCTGCTAAACAGAAAAAAAAAACTGACATTATGTTCTCGGTGTTTTACAAGTGAAATTCAGCTATGCCCAAAGTTGTAACCGAACGAATTGTCAATAACTTATTCTCTTTATAGTTATTTTCAGCCACAAGTCAGCTCAACGGTGCTGAGGATCGTGTTAGAATTCAAGAACGATACATCAGCGTGAGTTTTGTTGCTTAACATGTCTGGAATTGATTTCTATTAAACGCCGGGCTAGGTTATTATGTGAGCGAATGAAAACGCTGAAATGGTAAAAATTCGTAACTTTTCAAAAAAATGTCATTTTGAGCTATATCAATATCTCAATTAACTCACGTCAATTGGCATCATGTCTGTTTATACCCGAATTGGCATGTTATAGCGCCCTCAATCGCTCAAGAATAAGGCTGATAGAGGGCGATTGTTTTTTTTTTTTTTTTTTTTTTTTTTTTATAGATGCAACCCTGTATTAAAACTGATATTAACCATAGACATCAGTGCTAAGTGTCCATACTTCAAAATTCTTTTTAAAATATCTACAAGATCCACATGCCATCTTATATTTTCGTTTCAACTTTTGGTGGGTTGACCACTGTTTTTTCGATAAAGAAAACGACCCCGATTTTTCCAAAAGCGGAAAAGTAGCCATCTTGAAAAACGATCCCTCCACAACATGACAAAAAAGCGCCACTTTCGAGCCCAATTGCATCAAAAATGCTCAAAATTGGAATCCCCAAGTCCGGGCCAGAGAATCATTGCCATATCTCTTCAATTTCCCAATGTTATGGCTCTCAGAACTCTCAAATATAGAATATTTTTATGGTATAACTTTTATGCATGAGTTTGGCGGATGGGTTGAGGCCTATTTACCGGTGTGCACCCCTATGCAGTTTTATATTTGCTAACTTACAACAGAGAATTAGAGAGACGCTCGATAAAACAAACAACATTTAGAGAAGTGAGGGATCCCTCTTTCCTTGACCCATTTAATATAGAACCGCGCCTGACACTTTGGCAAATCCTTGATTTGAAAGTCGTTTGAAGTTAAACAGAACACTCATCTTGACTGGGGACACAGTGTCCCCCCCCTCCCTCCCTATAAAACGTCTGATATAGTTCTGATATGATTTTGCCGATCGGTATTACACTTTGTGTGACTTTTCCAAACTTTAATCCTGGGTCAGTATATTGCCGAAATAATTATTGTAGAGTGTCCATGGTCGTGAAATTCGTTACATTGTGTATAAAAAAAAACAAAAGAACTTATCATTTTTGTGAATAAAAAACATGTTTTCTTTACCTTAACCTATCAAGTATCCACTGCAGACAAACATTTATGGTCACGAGACCAAGTATAATGCATGCTGAGGAACCAAAATGGCCGCCATCGGCGCAAAAATGACACTTTAAATTAAAACCTTTGTTGCACAATGTCTTTGTTATGTGGCACTTTTTGACAGTTTCTGCATAAAAAATGCAAAATAAAATTGCCAAATGTCTTTATTAGTGCCACATTTGGCGGAAGATATTTCCACTTTTGGACAAAACCACAAGTGAACGTTGATTTTGCTCCCAACAATTTTATATAGTAACTTTGGATGCATCAATTTGTATAAGTTTAATCGATAATGACCCAAAAAATTGTTTGTAACAATTTAAAGTTATTTGAATGAAGAAATGCAGAAATTATGCCAACAATTGGCAAAATGAGTAAAGTGACCTCTTGCAGTGCAACCAAATGGTGTCATTGTATAGATAACTGGCCACTCAACATGCCTGCCAATTTTTTTTTAGAAAACTCGGTTTTTGCGTATGGAAATTAGGACGGGGAACACAATGTGCCTCCTGGTTCTAAGAAGTCCCAAAATACCCCGGTCCTCAAATACTGATCGAGTTTATTTCTGCCCAAATTCGCAGGAGTGATATCAAAAATCATGTTCCATTCATAATGTCATGATGAAATGGAGTGATTTTGAAAATCAACTTTCTGCAGCGGTTCTTTTTTCAGATTCAGGCACTTTTAGACCGGCAAAGTTTGGTGACAACATTTCATTTTAGAGAGGAAGATCCGTCATTCGAATTTGTCTAAGGGCGGATTCGTCGCAAAAGAACCAGTACGGCTGCTTCACTCTAAAGTATTACCATTATTTTCGTCTACAGAAAATGAATTTCGTTCAGTGAAAATGTTAAATAGAAGCTTTTCAAACTTGATAGGTTTTGACTAAGAGGAATACAAAATGTTCACATCTACAAATCATTCATTTTTTTTCCAAACGACGACAACTTTTCATAAGTCTTACTTAGATGTGATTCCCCGGTTTGTCTGCATGACTTCAATATGTTTTTCTCTCATTTTCCCCTCATTTCATTTGTTCTCATGTACACGTATTTTATTGTTATTTTTCTTTACAGATGAAGATCTGTGTGGCAATATTATCAATCGCCCTCCTTCTGGGTAACTCTGTCAAGCTCCGAGCTTCCGTTACTGGGCCGGTTCCCTCGGATGGCGATGGTCCTGCGTCTCAGGTGTGTCAGCAGTGCTGCCAGGGACCTGCTGCAATACCCGGCATACCAGGTCTGCCTGGGCCAGGAGGACCGATGGGGCCGTACGGTCAGCCGGGGTCAAAGGGCGATGTAGGTGAGAAAGGTCACAAAGGTGAGATTGGACCTATGGGTGAGCGGGGAGCACCTGGTAACACTGGGTCTAAAGGTGATTATGGGATTGGCCTACCCGGCAAGGTAGGTCCAAGGGGGCTACCTGGTTTTGTTGGAGGAACTGGGGAAACTGGTGTCAAAGGTCAGAAGGGTGAGACAGGGGAGACACCAGACGACTCCAACCAGCGGGTAGCATTCACCGTGGTGAGGACGAGCAGCTCGGATACCTATACGAGTCACGACACCCGTTTGCCCTTCCAGCAAACCGAGACCCTTCTACCGGGTACCAGCTTCGATCTGGGCACCGGTACGTTTACGTGTAGTTTGCCGGGTACCTACGTATTTACGTTTTCTGTTCTTAAGTATAGCACCAGCGGTTCCCTTGAAATCCATCTTGTAAAAAACAGCTACAAGGTGGTCACAGCATATGTGGTACAAAATCAACGTGAACATGTGTCTGGGAGCGCGGTGTTGGTTCTGCAGCGAGGAGACGCTGTGTATATGACTATGTACGGTAAGGCGTATGGTAGTCGAACCTATCACCACACCTCATTCAGTGGTTTCCTCCTTTACCCCGAATAAACAAACGTTAACCGCGCGTAAAATACACGATCAGTCGCATTGCCAAATTTTCAGTCGCTCCTCTGTTCACCCGAAACAAATATCCAACGAGTAGGTGTAAATTTCAAATAAATTTGCTATCAGAAATAATCTACTTAGATAATGTTGTTACCGCATTCGTTGATATGTTTACGGCATTGGTTTGACAAAGTGTTTGGAGTACTTAATATTAGCAGTGTGTATATCAAGGCAGCACTTCAAAAAATATGGAACTTATTATGTAAGCTGAAAATATTATCCTGTTTGAAACGTTGGTATTTACATGTATGTAGAAATAGAAGAGTCGATCGTCATAAAGAAAATTCGTGTATTTTTTTTTCAGCATTTTGGTGTGAATAAGGCACACATTACATTGATTGTCATGCACATATTGTTACATAGGCAAGTTGTTATTTTTTGTATTGCTTGCATGATATTGATTCGAAATCTAATCTATGTAGAGGAAACATTTTAATTGCATAAAAAAATCAATATAAATGTAATGTGTGAACTCTATTTACATGAGCACATTTGGGTATACGTTAACATGCACTGGGAGTGCACGAATCAGTACGGATGCTTGCGGATCCTGCGGATTACGTACGTTACCCATAGAGCTATATTTATTTAATAGAGCCTCATGACGTTCTCTTAGGTTTCTAAAGGTTTTTTTGTTGGATCATGCCATCTGGATCCATCCATGCTCACAATGTCAACATGTTGTCAGCGGAAGCATGTCCTTATACACTTGCTCAACCCTGATTTCCTAATAAAGATCTCACAGCCAAATTTCAATGAAATGAAAAGGTGAAAAGCTACCAGATGTTTTTTTAGGCCCCACTTTTATTTATTAGCCCTCAATTTTTTTTTTTTTAGCTTGCATTTGAATTGCATCGCATCACTCAGTGCATTCTCCAATTTTATAATTCCCTTTTTCTCACATGGTGTTACAACGTATTGTCTTTGAGAGCTTAATTCTTATATTTATTTATGATTTAATAGTTTTAAATGTTATAATACAGTAGCGGTTTGTTATAGTTTATTATTGGTTGTAAGAAAAGTGTTGCTTACTTTTTTGGTACATTTGATGACATCACTCTGTTTGACAGCTTACATAATTTACAACACGACGTTATTATACGTGATGAGTATCGAATCACTACGAAGAAAATAAAAAATAATTATTTAAAACTTTATCTAGCTTGTATTAAACTGCAGTATTAAACTACATGCCGCTTTTCGGAAACCTTTCAGGCTGGACATTGGGTGTGGTGCCAAAATCTTCCAAAATACACAATTATTTTTGAAGAAGTCATAGTGGAATTTACAGGAAACTACAATCCAAAATATGTCTCTCATTACACATTTCTCACAAGTAGCCTACACAGTCATGTTCAATCTTCAATATATTTATCATTATAGTTGTTATATTAAACATTATGCAGAGAAAGTTTAAGGTTGTGTGTTATGATGTTTTTGTTTAATTTTAAAGGTTAGGAGGACTGAATTTGGGGTAGGGTTTAAAGGTTAGGCATAGATTGGCTTGAGGGTGGGTGGGTGTGGAAGATGGATGGGTTATTAAGGGAGGGTAGGAGCAAAGGTGGGTGGGGTTGAGTAGTTAAGGGAAATGGGTTTTCGTTGGTTGCGGATGGGAAGCGTGGAGGGTGGATGTTGTTTTAGGGTACAGATATGGGGAGATGGGTTACGATTTAGGGTGAGTGGGGTTGAGGGTGAGATGAAGGAAGGGGACGTTCATAGAGAACAAGGCGGAGTGGTTGACGATGAGTTTGAGAATGAGACTGGATGGGTGGGAGTTGTACCAACATTTCGTTATTCCAACCACAGCTTACGGACCTGTCTGACCCTACCGTTTAGGGGCAGGGGCGGAGCTTCAGTGGGGATGGGGAGGGTGAGAAACCTCATTTATTTGCAAAGTGGTCACCTCCTCCATTCCCTTCCACATATTGTAATTCTGCCAATGCCCATTTTGTGAGGAACAAGTCAAAGTCCGCAGGGTTCCAAGATCGCATGAAGCCCGAGTCGTGCCATTATGTAAGTTTGATTACCATGTCACTTCGCCAGACTGGCAAGGCGCATTTTCATTTGTTTTGTTTACTGTTAAATCCTGGACTTGACTGGGACCCTGAACATCGCCCTCTGCATGCCACTGTCACAGTCTCCCTTGGGTATCATGTTACCTTCCATGCGGCCGATTTCATCCGAGGACTTAGCTCCACACCCGTTATGCCGCCATTGAGGACGCCAAGTCCAGAAGTGACCATGTCGCAGTAGAGAAGTCTCGTTTGTGTATTGACAGACTAACTGCGACACAAGTATGAACTGTGGATTGGGACGAGATAAGATTCAGATTTGGGGAGGGTAAATTAAGCTGAGAGCTTTTGGTAATATATACGAAAATGGAAACTGATTTATTTTAACTGAATTATGAAAATATAAAAAGGTTGACTCATTTGTGAATAGATTATCATTTACGATTAGGGACTTCACTGACATAACAAAACTAGAGGGTTGCGTTTATCCTTGTAACAAACGCAGGGTGATGGCGGGCTAAACTAATTTGTTTTTGAATTGCCTAACTCAGTTGTAAACATGTTCATGCAAACGAAACCCAGGAAAATTATGAAACTGAAACGGTTTTCGCATAAAAACATTCATTTAAGGAACGAAAGTTTTCAAGTCAAGGTCAAGCGGTTTTGTGCATGGATGTAAAACTATTACCCAAAACAAAATGGTAATACCTCACTAAATGTATTCCAGGTAAACAGTTCACTTCAAGAGATAAAGTTGAAAGTATAATGTCCGATTTTGACAATAAATCGCTTTTATTTTAATGTGTGATGACGTCATGGTGCCTGCACACGTATTGTTGTCACATTGTTAGACAAGGATTATGTTTGTACAAGTTTCATCTCCATCCCTTGAACCGTGTGAACGAAATTTTGTTTGTTTTAATATTTGCGCCTCCTTCGGTATTTGGAATTCACCTAACTTTGACCTTCCGTTAACCCGAAAGTCAAGGACTAACTAATACAACAAAACAACTGTTAAAGGCATGATTGATCAGACCAAAAAAATGTGAACATGCATTTTTAATCGTTTTCTGTTGATGAGTTGTGATTGACACAAAACGGTCATATTTGAACTAAACTCGATTGTAATTTGATACCCGATGACGTCGTCATGACGTTACACTTAACATACCTCCGTATCAAGGTTCATGTTCCTGCCAATGTTGAACTTCATGTTCAACTCGATCACCCAATAACCGAGGACCTCAGCCAAAGTCCTTGGTGGGTTTCGTGTCTACACCTTATTGGCTTTGTCAAGAAAAAAATATGGAAACAAAAGAAAGGAATATGGGGCCTTGTAGCATTTAGTACTGTTTTATTATGTCTTACGAATACACAACTATAATAATAATAATTTATTAATGTATAGTGCGCAAATTCCATTTAAAATATGTTTAAATGCGCATTACAGTCATAAAAAAAAATGGAAAAAAAACAGACTTATACGCACAATTGATATAAACAAACAAAGCAAAATACAACAATACAATGAATACTAATACAGGGTACAAAAAAAATCAATAAAAAGCTCTCATAAAAAGATGAGTTTTAAGTAATTGTTTAAAAACATTCAGGCTACTTGCTTCACGGATATTTAATGGCAGTGCATTCCATAATTTAGGTGCAGCACACTCAAATGCACGATCAACAAGGGTGACCTTGGTTCGACTTGCTGAGTAGCTGAGGAGTGTTTTGTCATTGGAAGATCTGAGATTGTAATTGAATGAAGATTGTTTTTGGATTAGATGGCATAAATATAAGGGAGCGAGACCATAAAGAATTGTATAAGTTATTAACAGAACTTTAAACTCAATCCTGAATCTCAGCGGGAGCCAATGTAAATAAAAAAAAAACAGTGGAGTGGTATGACAGTGCTTGTAAGCGTTACAGACTAGTCTGGCACAGGAATTTTGCACACGTTTAAGCTGTGATATTTGAACGTCAGGCAATCCATAGAGGAGGCCATTTCAATAATCCAACCGACTAGAAATAAAAGATTGAATTAACGTTTCAGTACATTCCCTGGTCAGATACTTTCTGATACGTCTAATATTATGTAAATATATATATATAATAAAAAGCCGTACCACACATTTTTGTGATATGAGTAGACATTGTCAAGTTTGCATCGAACCAGGCACCCAGACTCTTCACAACGGAGACAGGGGAAAGTCTGGACTCCCCAACATTGATGCTGTCAATATTAACCTTAGCCAATTGTTGGCGAGTACCCATGATAATAAATTCTAGCAACAATAACGTTATTTTGAGGTCCCTATTTAAAGAGTTGTTAATTTGAAATCGCAAAATAGAAAAGACGTGAAATAAGCAGGATACATGCGAAATAATTAAAGCATTATTCAGTTCGTCTCAAACACACAGGCATTGAGTATATTTTTGTATTCTGTATAAAGCATTTGTTACAATGGTATATGTAGGATTTTAATCAGTACAATGGGAAAAAAAAATGGTCAAACGTCCAATTTCACTTTTTAAAAGATGTGAGTTAGACCCTGACATTGATATAAGAAGATCTGGAGAGCGCATTGGCTGTTCAGAATATGGGCATCTGTTGCCACAGTACCACTCCCATACAGCGGCGTAGCCAGTGTTCTCACCGAGTTGGGGCGGGGGGCTGGATATTGCAGTTGGGGGGGGGGGACAGTTTTGGAGCATCCGTGCTGAGAGGTCGACGGTTTCTCTTTTTTCACCCACCTGTCACCTAGCCTCAATTAAATCGTATAGCGGGGGTGGGGGGGGGGGGGGGTGGGGGGGTTCTAGGCCTGACACTTTTCTATGGGGAGATAATATTTGACGATAGGTGGCGTTATTTATGGTGGCACAAGTTGAAAAGGGCACTCGTGAAAAAAAAATCCGCTCATGAAAAGGACA